AAAACCTGCATGAAAGAGGTGTGAAATCAAAGCAGTCATCAAATTTAGGTAGAATGAGAGAAGCTGAAGAGGTTTTCAATGTTTGCAACAAGCTTGGCAGCTGCAGGCACAGGAGGGATGTGACATTTTCCCCACCGTAACAACTCTGGGATGCAAATTGCATCTCAAATCCTTCTCCCCAGCTCTGGGACTTGTTCAGCCCACAACATGGTGCTGGATTTTCAAAGCAAAGTGGAAGCTGGTCAGAGAGGTGGCTTGCAAATCCAAATCACAGAGGACAGCTTGGAAGCAGCAGCCAGAGCAAAGAGAGGATAAGCCTGGCACTGGGGTGCAGCACAGCCACACAGCACATGCCTGAAAATCTGAGAAATGAAAGAATTTGCCACAGGAGATACAGAAGGTACTTGATGCAATCCCTGCCTCCTTCATGACGCATCAGCATGCAGAAGAACACAAGGATGAAGATGACAGCACCTTCTGCTGCTGCTTCCATCTCCTGAGTCAAATCTCACCAAAATGTCTCACTCTTGGGCATTCCCAAAGCCTCAGATTCTCTCAGTCCTTGCAGGATTTCAGTGCTGAGCAGCATGAAGGGAGAAAAAGGCACTTGCAGAGACCAGAGATGCATTTTCTGCCTGAGGTGCATTTCACTGCCCAGCTTAGTTCCTCTAAAACCATTCAAATCAGCCCCTTGGACAGCACCAAGCCAGCAGCAGAACATCAGCGCCTGAAAATGCTTGGAAATGCCATTCTTTGAGATTTCTCTGCAGCTCTCCCATTTCATGGTGCCATTGCAGGGCTTTATCCCATCACTCAGCACTTGCAGCAAGTCTTGGCAACCAGCTTCAAATGGATTTGTAGTGCTGAGCAAATAAGAGGCAATTTGATTTTGTCTCCAGTGAATGAAATTTCACCTCAATCAGATGAACTCCGTGTTCTGTGATTGGCCATGTATAGAGCAATGGCTAGCTGGCAAAGGTCATGTTCCCATGCAGCAATTAGCTGAGAAAGAATTAAACAACAATAGAGTACCTTTGGTTTGAGATGTTGGAAGGTCAGAAAGACCTTAGTGATAACTGTTAACTGAGAACAGGACACTGTGATCAGACGAATGAGAATTCAGCACAGATGAGAGACCACAAGAATGTGGGACTAGGTGGAGTCAACCTTAAATGAAATATCCAAGAATGAGCTTGCTTTTGCACTATGTATGAGCCTAATTATTGATGCTATATAAGTGGTTTTAGAGTTACCAATAAATGAGACTTGCTGATCATTCATATTGAGTGCTGCTTTTCTCCCGCCGAACTCATCAAATGGCGCCCGAAGAACAGGGATCTTTGGAACCTTTGGAACCTTTGAGACCTTAAAAAGGAGTCGGAGTCGGCCAAGGGAGTCAGCGACAGGGGACGGGTCCTCCGCAGCAAGGACGGCGAAAAGCAACAGCTGTGATCACACAGTAGCGTTGCCGAGCCCAGGCGACCTCAGAGGAGAATCCTGCCATAACGTGCTGCTGAAACCTTGTAGGGGCTGCAACAGCGCTGACGGTAAGATGGAAAGGCAAGCAGCATATGATTTATTTACCTGCTTTTTAGAAAAGTGACAGGTTAAAGATTTTGATTTGCGCAAGGAGCTTCCTGGACTTCTTGCTTATGGGTATGCTCAGGGTTGTTTTCAGAATCCCCATACATGAATTAAGTGAGTGGCGAAAATTTGGAGATAAATTGCGGGAAGCTACTTTAGATGATGATAAAACTGCTAAAAAATTGGGAAAACTGTGGTGGACAGTTCATAATGTTCTTTTGCAGTATCAGGCTGAACAGGCAGCTGCCACAAAGGCATCTGCAGCTATGTCAAAAAATAGATTATTAGAGGGAGTTAATGAGTGTCCATTGCCACCCGCCACGAACACAGTAATCTTGACCCCCCCCCACGCAGTCACTGACCCCTGCTGCAGCTGCTAATCCTTTTGTGCCATCTCCAATTCCTTCACCTACTAACCTTGATTCTGGAACGGAGCCTTCGGCACTGTTACCATCCTCCCCTATGGGAAATAAATCTGTCCCTGGGGTAGGGCGTGAGTTAGGTGAGGCATGGGAAAGAAGGGAGACATGGGCTACGTTAGCACGGAATATTTTGCAAGAGGGAGATCAGGAAATAGCAGATGCTGTATTGGAAGTAGCATGTCCCGTAACCTTTGCACTGATGCAAGGGGGAGGAATACAAGCTCAAATTACAGCTTTAGATTGGAAATGGTTATCACAGTTGTGATCTACAGTCAGTCAGTTTGGAGTGACCAGTGAACCGGTTAGACAGATGATTGATTATTTGTGGGGCATACAGATTTTGTTGCCTGCAGATTGTAGGAGTATTATGAAATTGATTCTTAGTCAGCATCAGCAGTTGTTGTTTAATGCACACTGGCAAGCTTATTGTCAAGAAAGTGTAAATGTGCAAAGACAGGCAGGTGATCCACTGCATGGATTAACTTTGGAAGAATTTATGGGATTAGGAGCATATAGTTGGGTAGAAGCACAAGCTATTTTGGGGCCAGACAAGTTGAGAGAATGAATGCAGTTGGCACAAGCTGTGTTTGATCGGATTAAGGAGCCAGGAGGTATTCCATCTTATATGGGTATTAAACAGGGGCAAGATGAGCCATCTGGAACATTTATTGATAAAGCAGCTGCAGCTATGGAGAGGGCAGGTGATCCTGTGTCGTTCCGATTGGGAACGGCTACAAAGAACGACACAAACTCTCAAGGGAGTTTTCAACACAAGAATTCTCCCTAGTTTATTGCTTCAGGCCTGTCTTATAGACAGATACGTGGAAAGTACAGAAAGGAAACTCTTATTGGTTAACAAAGTGCTACATTACCATCATTGGTCAGGGGCACACAACCCCCCTGACTCCCTCCTGCAAGGAGAACAAGAGGACAGACAAACAGCACCTGGCAGTTGTTTTCTGTCTCTGAGGATTGTTTTGAAATCCTCCTTTGAAATTCCCAGGCTAGCTTCTCAGGCAGGACTGAGAGGCCATGGGCCTGCAGTTTCTGCAGCTCCCTGCAGCCTGTTCCAAAGCTAGCATCCATAACTCACCCTTTCTGTTAGAAAAAATAAAAAGCAGTGTTTGTTACATCCTGCTGGGCCCTTGCAGGAGAGAGAACAAACACAGCACAAGAGGGTTCTTTACTAGAACTTTGAATGGATGCTGATCTAGAATTAATCTAGAATTTTGGCTTATGTTTTGGTATTTAAGATTTGTTCTCCTTGCAAGGACTTGATGGTTGACTCTAATGTCTCTAATTCAGTGAATTAGTACACACACTATATACAACACTATATACAACATTGTTAGTCTGTTCGAATTGACAGTCTAACATGTCAATAGAGTAGTTTGAAAGAACACCAAAGTGATAAAAACAATGCACAATGCAATTTATGCTGCTTTGATCCCCTCTTCTTATCCCTTTTTTTTTTTTTTTTTTAATTGGATTTTTTCTTCAAATATAATTGAGGGGTTTTTGAGGGATTTATAAAGTTTACATGGTTGTTGTTATTGTTCGTCGGGTTTGAACTAAGGATAGATAGGATGCAGACTCGTTTTAGGATGATTCTTGATTATTAAAACAGTAGTTTGTGAATTCTGGGAGGTTCAGGGAACTCGAAGTTACCATCTCCTCGCGGCTGGTTGTCAGCTCTGTAAACACAAGACTTAAAAGGTACAAGGTGAGTAAGTTTGGGTCCCGCAGGGACTGCAGGACTTTGGCGCGGCTCAGGCAGCTGGAGCCGATGGACACGGCACCGACTCCGAGGCATTTTCTCCAGGCAGGTGCGGAAGGTCTCGGCCGAAGGATTGCTGCTTTCTTTCCCTCCCCCCGCCACCTTTATGGGTGTGTGGGGGGGCGCTGGTAGAACTCGGATGTGTGCGCAGCACGGTTCGCTCTCCTCTCCCCGCGCCTCCCAGCTGGAGCGCGGGGGGAGCGCGAGGGCGAGCGCGTCTCGCGCACGCGCTGGGCGAGCAAGGCCGCCGGCCCCCCTTGCCGCTCTTTCGCCGACACTTCGG